CCAGAGCTAAAACTCGGGCGACTGACGGCACTCCAGATTGTGTGGACTTGGGTAGAAGCTTGCATCGGATAGACTGGGGGATGTTGATATTCTTTTGAGAAGACCGCGGGAGGAGAGGTCCTCCAGGATGGAGAGGATGGCTGTGTCGGTTTCAACGGGTACGCGAAAGGTTTTAAAGTCGAGAACGGGGATCCAGAAGCCAGTGGAGAGACGGATTACGCGCTGTAGCCAGCGCTGGACACCAGTAATTTTCATCTCGTCCCATTCGAGCACGTCGCTAACAGGAGCTTGGAAGAGCATGTGTGCACGTGTAGCATCGGCGCCGTATTTTGCAATGGTGACTCCGGGGTCCACACCGTTGTATTTGCTCTTGGACATCTTTTCGTAGCTTTTGTTGGGCGTGAGACCAGTTGCCCTAATAACAGGTTTCGAGCGGTTCGTCAAATCAACTTCATCGGGTCGAAGGAACCGGCCCGTTGCGGGATCTGTGTATGTCTCCCCGTGCACCATGCCTTGAGTAATAAGCCGCAAGAAGGGCTCTCCATTGACCATTTTGCCCTGTGGCCAGGTAGATGTTGTGGCGAGGAACTTTGAAATGAAGCGGGCGTAAAGTAGATGCAGGATAGCATGCTCCACACCACCCACGTAGAGGTCCACTGGCATACCCGCATTTGCTTTATCTGGATCTACTAATGCCTCCTGGTTTTTCGGGTCGAGAAATCGGAAAAAGTACCATGACGAATCCATGAATGTGTCCATGGTGTCAGTCTCTCGTTCTGCAGCTGAGCCACATTTGGGGCAGCTGGTCTTTTTCCAGTTCTCATCTTCAGCCAGTGGATTGCCTTTTCTACCCTGGAAGAAGCTGTCTGGTAGATCAGGCAGCTTAACCGGGAGATCCTCCTCCGGAATAGCCACTGGACCGCAAGAGTCACAATGGATAATGGGAATGGGCGCTCCCCAGTAGCGCTGGCGACTGATCAGCCAGTCTCGCAACCTCCAGTTAGATGTCATACTGGCTGGTTGTCCGATACGTTGCAGGGCGTTCACAATCTTGGTCACGGCCTTTTCGGACCGCATACCTCCAAAACGCTCAACATCGGCAGCTACGAAGCCTCGACAAGTGACTGGCACGTCATCGTCTCCCGGAACTAGTGGCTTTGGTGATTTACCAGGCTTGACAGAAATGACAGTTTTGATTGGGTGGTCTCCCTCATTGGTGCGCCAGAATGCGTGGTCTCGAGTGTCGTGGCCAGGTACACCCATGACGGCGCCTGATCCGTAGTCATCCAGGACATATGGAGCAACATAGATGGGAATATGTGCATGGTCAGTGTTGATCAAGTTTGCAATCGGGTTCTTTGCGACAATGTCTGGAAGTCGATAGCCTTCTTTGGTGTCAGGCGGCAGATCGTTTGCTCGATCAATAAAGGAACGGAGAGCGTCGTCGTCTACCGTTAACTGCTGAACGATGGGATGACGCAGAGAGAGTGCAATATACTGCACACCAAACAAGGTATCTGCTCGGGTAGTAAAAACATCGACTGGTGCGAATTGTGTGCCAGTACTTGTCGACTCGACATTGAAGCATAGTTTTGTGCCTTCAGACTTTCCAATCCAGTTTCTCTGCATAGCCAGCACCTTTTCAGGCCATCTGCCATCTTTTGCCAAAGCATCCAGATCCTTCAGCAGAGGCTCTTGAAACTCTTTGATTTTCAAGAACCACTGCTTGAGCATGACTTTCTCGACCTTGGCCCCAGAGCGCCATGAACAGCCATTGGCGTCGACCTGTTCGTTTGCGAGGACCGTCTTATCCACGGGATCGTAGTTGACGAGGGACTCGGCCTGGTAGGCTAGACCGCGCTCGTGCAGCATAAGGAAGATGCGCTGGGTGTGTTTGTAGAAGTCGGGGTCGCATGTTCGAAGTTCCTGAGCCAGCTATCAGCCTGTGTTTCTCGTGCATTCGACTCCAGCAGTGCGCACACTATCCCAGTCCCATCGTCCACCCATAACGTGCATCTGGGCCTTCATGGCCTCGATGTTCTGCAGCGTCCATTTCTCAGGATGGACCCCTCGTTCGATTGCGGCATTCTCAGCAGGCAGACCAAAGGCATCCCAGCCGATGGGATGCAGGACCTTGTAGCCCTGCATATGCTTGTATCTTGCCAAGACATCGGATATGGTGTAGACTCGCAGGTGGCCCAGATGGAGGGTGCCAGAAGGGTAGGGGAACATGGGCAGAACATAGGCCTCTCCTCTGTCGATTGGGCGCAAATCATGCCAATTCGCCGCCAGCTTGTCCCAGTGCGGCTGCCATTTTGCAGTAAGCGCGTTCAACTGCACTTTTTCAGCGCGCTTGGGGCCGACGACATGAGGGCTCTTCCATCGTAACTGGGTGCAAGTTGGGCGCAAGAGAGCATGACGGGTCAAGGCAGGCCGCCAGCCTACACGGTGCAGACATGGGCTTGGCATTACCTGTTTGCATGCGCATGTCGTGAAGAAGAAGAAGAAGGAAGCTGGCGGCTGGACATGGATGGGTTTCCCAATTTTGGTGGAACAAAAAGTCTCGACTCGACCACGATGGGAAGTCGTCCCCTCCATGCCCGAAAGGGCAAAGGCTCCGTGCCAAGCTTCCCGTGATCTGGAGCAGCTCCCACGCGCTTTCGGTTGGTGGTGGAGCATCAAAAGACGGGAGCTAGCCCGATGGCAGGATGGCCTACTCTACTAGGAGCCCCGTTCCAACTGTACCCAAATCCACCAAAAGTCCAGCCTTTAGACACTGACGCTCTTCTTCCTCTAGACGGCGGAAGGTTTCGCAGTCTCTGAAGGGGAAGATCAAAAACTGTAATTCCATCTTATCCCCCCCCCCTCCCCCTTGGTGAAGGCTCCTCTATTTATTTCTAATATATTCATCCACTGCTACCTTGCCTACCTACTCCATGGCGAGCTGCTGTGCCTGCACGTAGCCTTTCACCGTTGTTGTCCTTCCCCCCCAATTCCGCTCGCTCCTCTGCCCCCCCTCCGCTCCTCTCTACTCCTCTCCTCCACACCCTTGCTATGGCTGGCCGCTATTCAAACCCCCCACCACCCACCCGCGATTCCTTAGAGCTCGCCTCCCTGGCCTCATCCTCGCCCTCGCGACGCTCCTCGCAAGACTCCTCGGCCTCAGGCACCCCTTCGTCGCGCCGGCTGTCCTTTGACGACCAAGACCCCCTCTCCGAATTGAACCCTGCCGGCCACGACGCGAACCGCCCCCGCCACAACCGCTCGTATAGCGTGTCTTCGGCCTTTGACTTTGCGCCCAACCTCTTCCCTCTATCGAGCACAGCCCAAGGCTACACTGCCCTCGGTGCGCCTGCGAATCCTGCCTTGGACCCGTTGAATGCGCTCAATGGCGGCTCACTGGAGAAGAACAAGAGTCTCACCTATCTCAATGGCCTGTCGCTGGTAATAGGTCTCATAATCGGCAGTGGCATCTTCTCGTCCCCCTCGCAAGTCAACAAGAATGCCGGGTCGCCGGGCGCATCGCTGCTGGTCTGGGTGGTGGCTGGAGTTCTGGCGTGGACAGGGGCCGCGAGCTATGCGGAGCTGGGAGGAGCCATACCCTTGAACGGGGGCGCTCAAGTCTACCTATCAAAGATCTTTGGCGAATGGGCAGGGTTCCTGTTCACGTGGTGCGCCGTAATGGTGCTGAAGCCGGGTTCCGCAGCCATCATTGCCATCATATTTGGAGAGTACATGGTTAGTGCTGTCATGGGAGTCGAGGCTGTCGAGGAGAACACGTGGTTGTGCAAGAGCATCGCGTTGGTGGGACTCGCCGTTGTCACACTGCTGAACTGTGTATCGACCAAGCTTGGCACGAGGAGCGCCGACGTCTTCATGTTTCTCAAGTTCATGGCATTGCTGGGAGTCACAGTAATCGGTATCGTTGTTGCAGCAACCGGCCTGTCATACAACGGCGAGCCAAACACAGAGTGGAAGACCAGAGGATGGTTCGAAGGCACAAACACCAACGTCAGTAACTGGGCCGTAGCTCTCTACGCCGGACTCTGGGCCTTTGACGGCTGGGACAATGTAAATTTCCTTCATCCTCCCAATCGCCATCACACCAACTAACATGCCTCAGGTCAACTACGTAACCGCCGAGTTCAAGAATCCCGCCCGCGATCTCCCCCGCGTCATCCATACCTCCCTCCCCCTCGTAATCCTCTGCTACATCCTCGCCAACATATCCTACTTCCTCGTGCTCCCCGCCTCACTCATCGAGTCCACAAACACCGTCGCCGTAGCCTTTGGCCAGCAAGTCTTCGGTCCCATCGGCTCCCTCGTCCTCGCCCTCTTCGTCTCAGGCTCCTGCTTCGGCGCCCTAAACGCCACAACCTTCACCTCTGGCCGACTCGTCTATGCCGCCAGAAAAGAAGGCTATCTCCCCTCCCTCTTCGGCTCCATCGGCCTCGGCAAAAACCACCGCGCAATCCGCCTGCACACCCTCTACTCCTCGACCAGCAAATCCAAAATCCCACGCAAACTGGTGGACTGGTTCGCGGACGCGGACGCGGGCTTCTTTTTCACCCCCATAGCTGCAATGTCCCTCAACGCCCTCCTCACCGCAATCTACATCTTCATGGGCTCTTTGGACACCCTGGTCACTTTTTAGGGCGTCTCCGGCTACGCTTTTTACTTCCAAACCGTGCTCGGCCTCATCGTGCTGCGCGTCCGCGAACCAGACCTCGACCGCCCGTACAAGACGTGGATCACGACGCCCATAATCTTTTGCTGCGTCAGCTTGTTCCTCCTCAGTAGAGCGGTGTTTGCGGAGCCCTTGCAGACCCTGCTCGTGCTCGCTTTTATGCTTGCCGGGCTGCTCATTTGGTTTGCTTGGGTTGGCAGACGGCGCAATGTAGGTGCCAAGGAGCGGTATAGAGGTGTCGAGGGCGGAGCCGAGGGCTTTGGATGGCGGTTTTGGCGGCGCTGGGGGAGGTGAGGATGGTGTCGCTTGGCGTCTTTGGCAAGAAGGGGAAGGGGGGGGGGCGTTTTTTCATGTTTTTGCATATGCGGAATTTTAAGATGGTAGATGAATGAGGACATGTCTGTATAAAAACCCATGATTGCAGGTTTATCTTTAATCAAGATTTCTTCTTTTCAAATAAACAACTCTCAAAGGTTAATTCTGGACAGTGGTTCCAGTGTTTCCAATCCCCTCGTTGATGCCTAATGCGCCATCCAACATTTATCACAGATGAAGTCTAGCTGGGCTTGTAACTCAAACAATGGATATCCTGCTCGTGCATCTTACCTCCACGTTTACAACATGGCTAGGTGGAAAGGTGGGGGGAAGGGGTGGCGTGGGTATGTGGTATGGGCTGTTGGAGGCAGGGGGGGGGGGG